GGGGGGTCGGATCAGGGACCTCCGGGAGCCATGGCGGAGCGTGCAGTTCGGGTCACCATGGCAGATCAGGGGCCTCGGGTCGCCATGGCGGATCCTCCGTGGCCTTGGCTGGCTCGGCCACGGGTATATGGGCCCCCCCAAAAAAATTTTCTTGGGGAAATCTAGGAATCCTGGGGGGTGCTCTGGAGGAGTGGGCACTGGAGGGCGATCTGGAGGGCATTCCGGAGCGGACTCTGGACTAGGTGCCAACTCTGGAGCGGATCCATGGACTCAAGCAGGATCCTAGAAGAGCTCTGAGGTGAAAGCGGGCACTAGACTGAGCTCGTGGGCTGGAGCCTGCACTGGAACTTGGTTAGTGGCTGGAGCCTGCATTGGACTCTGGTCTAGAACAGACACCTTCACTGGGCCGATCTCGGAATCAGAAGCTTTCATTGGGCCAAACTTGGGAACAGGGGCCTTCTCTGGGTTAAATTCGGGAACAAGGCTCTTCTCGGGACTAAATTCAGAAACAGGAGCCCTCTCTGGGCTAAACTCGGGGACTGGAGTCCTCTTTGGGCCTCGGCGCTTCTTCATTCGCCTTCTCTTGGGAGCAGAGGTAGAATGAGGCACGGCCTCTAGAACGGGCAGTTGGTTGAAAACTGGAGCTGATCTTGGGGCAGAAACAGGTCGGAGACTGGAGTCTAAAGCTTGCATCCTCTCGGGGCTGAGATTCTAAGCAGGAACCTTACTAGGGCTGTATTTGAGGATTGGGGTACCCAGGATGCCTGCTGCTCGCACCGACCTCAACGGTGGATCCGTCACACTGGGCATTAGTCTAGTTTGCCTTAGTTTAAGTTCTATCTTGCTCATGGTTTCTGGCATGGCAGCCATGGCAAACCGAGCCTCTGGGGTGGCGGCCATCTTGGCCAGGGCCTCAGGCGCGACAGCCCTTTTGGCTAGGGATTCCAGATGGAATTCTCATTCGGACCTTAGGACCGCAGGAGTCGGGTCCTCCAGGACCCCCGGACTTGGTTCCACCAAAGTTGGGTCCTCTGGGACCACTGGACTCGGAACCACCAGAGTCGGGTCCTCCAGGACCACCAGACTTGGGACCCCATTACACGGCGTTTTAAATCAAGGCGGGTGAGGGCGTTTTCATACGCGTTTGGCCAATCAATGTCTACTTACCTCACGATTAGTACCAGTTGTGCTGGTTAGACCCTGCTCCGGAGTAGGAGCTAATTTGGTTCTCGAAAAAGGTGAGGGAGGTGAGTGTGGAGTGTGGGTGACCGTGATTTCACAAAGTACAACATGTTCCTGGATCAACATCCTTGTTGATCCTGAAACAACATTCCAATTAACCAATCAGAATTGAGGAATAACTTTTCAGGAAATATCTGTTTTAGGCTTACGATCAGGGTTAGGTGCTTCTACACCCTTGGTTTCATTTCACACTGATTTTAGGAATAAATTATTGGTAGGGTTAGGGATTGAATTTAGTCTATATTTTTGGACAGTAATGTTGATCCAGGAACATGTCTTACTTGGCAAAATCACAGCGATTGTGGAGTGAAGAAAGACTGTAGACTTGGCAACACGGCAGTGACA